AAATCAGTAGTATCGCTCGATACGAATGCACTGGACGTCTTTCTTTTTATTGCTTAGATGGGTGGACGAGCTCACAGCCCACCTTGTGTTAAGTGGCTACCGGAACCCATAGAGATCTATAACGTAAATGCGCCACCCACCTTGAGATATAAGTTCTAAGACCTCAGTATAGTAACTACAGTCTTCACATATAAGCCAAGTAATTCCTTGGTAATTATATGTTAAGTTTTCAGACCACGCGTATTCTGTACAGTTGAAACTTCGATTTCATTTCTCGAGACAGCACTTAACACTAATCGGGCCGTGATCATGTATTCAGGCGATCAAGAATCACACTCAAGTGAGACCATCATTCATACGCGCATAGCGTCACTTAACATCGAAGTACATGCTAATCCAATAATAACACGAAATATAGGAAATATGCCGACAACGAGTGAAAGTGGTTTTGCTTCATTACGACGCGCTAGTGACGGGAAAAGGTCGATGTCGATAAAGAACATTTTTATTTTATTTTTGTCTGCTACGCTTGTCAATTTAGTTGATTGAAAGCTCAGCGACAATTAAGGAAACCGCTTTGGAGCTTCGCAGATACGAAGCGAAAAACAGATCTTTTTTTTGTTTTTTCTTAAATGGGTTGATAAACTCACAGCTCATTTAGTGTTAATTGGTTACCGATGCCCCTAGACATCAATAAACGCCGCCATAAGAATTAGTAAAAAGATTAGGACGTACTTAGCAAACATATCACATCTTAGATAACTAATGAACCGTGAATAATCAGATGGGGAGTGGAAAAAATCCCAGAAACACACTTGACGAACCAAGAGATTCCACGTAGTAGATAATGAACAAGAGAAACCTCAGTCATATCAAACGATTCAGACCCGGCAGTATTGGATTCTTCTCCTAAAAAGGCGTATTTAAAACCACATATATAGCGCGTAGTTTAGCCCCATTACTAGTAAGACAAAATAAGCCCCAAGGTCAGGTACAAAAGTCACTTTTTTTTATTGCTTACACGGGTGGACGAGCATACAACCCACATAGTTGTTAAGTGGTTACTAGAGCCCATAGACTTTACAACGTAAATGCGCCACCCACCTTGAGATTGAAGTTCTAAGATCTCAGTATAGCTACAACGGCTGCCCCGCCCTTCGAACCGAAACGCATTACTTCTTCATGGCAGAAATAGGCGGGGTGGTGGTACCTACCCGCGCGGACTCACAAGACGTCCCACCACCAGTACAAAGTTACGCCTGAATCTGCCGCGATGGCTGCTATGTATGTAAGAATCAGACTTCCCACCGGCCGACCTCTGTCTATGAGTGAAGTCGCTTAACGCCAAGCGGGATCCATCGCCACTTTCTCCCTTCACTAACAGACCGGTTCGCGTTACGGATATCTAGCTAATGTTGCGTCACTTCATTGAGCAAATACACTATTACGAGGTGTATTCCACTTGCTTTATACCTTATTATGTGTGTCATAATGTTACAAGAACTTCTCGTATGCAAACAGACACAGAATCGACCCACATCTAGCCTCTAGTCCTATACTACACTACTACAGACACAGTCCTCTGCAGCTCTGTACTGATCCCGAGCTCTTCTCGTACACAAACAGACACAGATCCGACCTACATCTAGCCTCTAGTCCTATACTACACTACTACAGACACAGTCCTCTGCAGCTCTGTACTGATCCCGAGCTCTTCTCGTACACAAACAGACACAGATCCGACCTACATCTAGCCTCTAGTCCTATACTACACTACTACAGACACAGTCCTCTGCAGCTCTGTACTGATCCCTAGCTCTTCTCGTACACAAACAGACACAGGTCCGCCCTACATTTTCCTTTAAAATCACAGTCCGAATTCGTGAAACCTAAGTGTATCATTCGGTCAATGAGCCGGTTACGAGATTGCGTAAGTTTCATTATAATATTTATTCTGAGTAACGTAACATAGACCCACTTGGCGTATTATGAAATTAATACAATTAACTATATTAAGAAAAAAGGTATTTCTTGGTTAATTCAACTACTTTTGTTTATCATTAGGAAGCGATGTGTGAACTTTTAAATTCCCTTTAATAAAATACGTTAAATTGAAGACTATGAGGTTTTTGACTGGAACTACTGAGAAAGGACGCTCTATCCCTTTCTCGCAAACGGAATCTTTGGTGTTACTATGACCGATATAAAAGATGACATCACTTGCTCTCTGTGGATCCAGGCATTAGATTGGGAAATCGCTAGGAAGAAGAAGAATAAGACTAGACATAAGTAAAACCACTTTTTTTACTTTAGCTGGTGGTAGGATCTCTTGTGAGTCCGCGCGGGTAGGTACCACCACCCCGCCTGTTTCTGCCGTGAAGCAGTGATGCGTTTCGGTTTGAAGGGTGGGGCAGCCGTTGTAACTATACTGAGACCTTAGAACATATATCTCAAGGTGGGTGGCGCATTTACGTCATAGATGTATATGGGCTCCGGTAACTACTTAACACCAGGTGGGCTGTGAGCTTGTCCTCCCATCTAAGCAATAAAAAAAATAAAAAAAGGCATGAAATAAAATGAAATGAGATGAGATGATATGGGAGCACGTAATGATTAATATTTTATATAAAAAAGTTATCATTAAAATTAAAATAAGACTGACCTAAAGGTAATGTCGTGCGCAGCGCCTTTCGCATTACCTACTTGTTTTTAATTTTTGGCTTTCGTTCGTTTTCGTAAACAACCTAATGCGCAATTTCTCGTAACTGGTTCCATTTTTGTATTCAAAACAATCTGTTCCTGGAACATGTTTATCGTAAAAAATTACTCATCTTTAATAGGAAAAATATCGTTTTTTATTAAAATATCTCGAACAATAAACATAACCTAAAATGTAAACATTGTCTGATTTTACCAATTTGGCCATTGCTGGGAGACCTGAAAATTGGGCTCATGAAACCTTCTTAGGTATTGTAATTTATGCCCAAATTCTAGCACTGTAACGCCAGGCCCAAGTTTGTATGGATTTCGGGTTTCTCCCTTAATCAGTTTGTCTACAACAAATAAAGACTTGTATGATTTATTATATTTTTTTATTTTCTGTGTTTATTTAAACAATATTGAAATGCCTTAACTATAACAACATATAAGTTTAGGGGCATCCGCTACAAGATGTCGCTAGTTTCCATACAAAAAATAGCCTTAAAGTATCGCAGATTCAGGGCCTTGGGTCAGAAATAATTTAACGATTAAAATAACAATAAAAAACCCGAGATCATAATATTTCGAAAGTAGGTTTTTTTTTTTTATTCCTAAGATGTGTGGACGAGCTCACAGACCACCTGGTGTTAAGTGGTTACTGGAGCCCATAGACATCCACATCGTAAATGCGCCACCCTCCTTGAGATATAAGTTCTAAGGTGTCAGGTATAGTTACAACTGCTTCACGGCAGAAATAGGCAGGGTGGTGGTACCCACCCGCGCGGACTCACAAAAGGTCCTACCACCAGTAAAAATATCTTATTGATATAATCATTCGTAACCAATCGCTAGTAGCAAAGGTCATTCCAGCTACGCGCTGAGACGTGAGCTCACGGGCTCAAGCTGATAGAGCTGGCCAACACTAGCCCTAGTAAGAATAAGGCTTCCCTGAACCTACCATCGGATCGGAATCGCGACCAACTGAGAAGTTCCCGCGAAAAACTCAACATCTATGGGTTCGACAACGACCCGTTCTTGAAGAATATTGCTATTGCTTCTTCTTCTGAGTCGGTCTCTTCATTGCTGAAGGTCGTGTCTAATCTGAAATGTGGACCACTCAATTCACAATGCTTCTCCACGTCTTCCTGTCCTCGAAGGTCTTTACAGCCTCGGTATTGGCAGGCCTGTGAGCGTCTTAACCAGATCAGACCAGAGGATAGGTGAGCGTCCGCGTGATCTTCTCCCGTCAACCTGACCAACTACCATCAGCTTCTCTAAGCTATCAGGGGCCTGTACGAGCGATGTGGCCAAAGTACGTGAGAATACGTTGGAAGCAGATAGCGGACAGCCTTGTGGCAATACCGAGATCCTTTAGACAATTGGGTTGGTCCGGCGTACTGTCCGTGGAAATCGCAACATCCGTCTCCAACACCACATTTCAAAAGCGTCGATGCTTACCCTCCTATTGCACAAGGATACTCAAAAACTAAGCTCACAGTTCGAAATTCTTCGCTCGTATTAATTCATCAATAATTAATTTCCCTTGAAACTGGGTTCAATCGATATTGTTTCAATTACAAACCGTCTATCTAACTCCCTAATGTTATTGAGTTCACGCTCGTGTAGAGCGCCCGTGTGTTTTCAAAATAAATTACAAATTTGTTTCATAGATGTCGCTAAGCAGCTAAGATCTGTTCAGGGAGCCTGGATCATAGACAATGCGGGAAGGCGACCTAGGATCATTTTCCGTAGCAATTGAAGACATTAGTGGATGAAGGACCATTTAGCTTTCTTTTTAATGCTTAGATGGATGGACGAGTTCACAGCCCACCTGGTGTTGAGTGGTTACTGGAGCCCATAGACATCTACAACGTAAATGCGCCACCCACCTTGAGATATAAGTTCTAAGGTCTCAGTATACATAGTTACAACGGCTGCCCCATCCTTCGAACCGAAACGCATTACTACGGCAGAAATGGGCAGGGTTGTGGTACCTACCCGTGCGGACTCACAGAAGGTCCTACCACCAGTAATTTGCTTCCGAAGCAGATAGCCGTGAATTCATATACACTCTTACACATTACGTCTTTGGCAGATCGAAATCATTACACTCACAGTACTTAAATTGGTTAGAAAATCTTCTTCCCTTAGCCCACGTTATGTGGGATCGGCGCGGCGTGTCCGGTGCTGATAATGCCATATGGAATACCACAACGAACCAGTTAGTTTCTTGTATTCCTCCACCACGCTTCGCTCAATCGAATGTCCGCGAGAAGCGTCAGTCTAAGCTCACCGCCAGCACTGGCTTGTTCGTTCGTAATTCAGCGCCGTGTGTTTCGCAAGCGCTTTTTTCTATCTTTCTAACAAACATTAGGTGGCTGGTCGCGGCCAGTGGTGACACGCCTGCCTTACCGAATGGTGCTAATAAAAATGTCGTACTAAAAAGTGATTTTCAGATATTCAATAAAATTGATTGCACGCTACTAATCACCGTGTTTCCCTGTATTAAAAGGTGAGTTTTTAGGATACGTTTTTTTTGGTTTTATGGTCGCTGTTTTCTTAGCTTAGAGAACGTCTAGTGTTAAGTGGCCGTGGATGCAGATGGACGTTTGAGAAGCTTGGAGATGTGAGGTCGTAGTCTCATGTACTGCACGGGAGTTTGCCGACGTATAAACGCGGAATGCATAGCTATTTATATTATGGTTGAAATAGAACGAAAATACTAAGTAAAAATTGATGAAAAAATAATAATTAAATCTCCACATATAAATAAAATTGGAGTGTCTGTTTGTAGTATTGAAATAACCGCTTTTTACTACATGCATATGAATATATATACGGTACATACACCAAAATAACATTTTTTGCAATTTTTGTCGACAGACAAAGACAGACATGTCAGTCTGTCTGTATGTTCCGGCTAATCTCTGGAGCGGCTGGACCTATTTTGACGAGATTTTCACTGATAGGTAGCTGATGATATAAGGAGTAACTTAGGCAATTTTTTTAGAGTAGCTTCGCTTATCATCTCTTCTCTATATATAAAAATGAATTATTGTTCGTTAGTCTCGCTAAAACTCGAGAACGGCTGGACCGATTTGGCTAATTTTGGTCTTGAATTATTCGTGGAAGTTCAGAGAAGGTTTAAAAGGTGAATAAATATGAAAATGCTCGGAATTATATAAAAACAAACAATTTTGTTTTTCCTTTGATGTGTCCCCCGTCGGACTGATTCCTTTTGTTTGTTTTAAGTTTATTTTATACAAGAGCTCAGGTCTTTTATTTATCGATTGAGGCACTATGAAGTCTGCCAGGTCAGCTAGTTAATGATAAAATTAAATGTTCCCGAAAAGCGAGGGCGGATCACTAGCTCATCAATAATTTTTATTGTACTTGAGTCGAAATAATTGTGACTGTTGAATTTTCGTTATCAAAAATAGGTAAGATATTTTTTTGAATAAAAAAATTATAATAAAAAGGTTTTCATTATAATGTAAGGTTTGCATGCAAACACAAAGTCATCATTATCAGATTTGATTATCCGACTGATTTATGTGGAAGTTAAAAATCCACACCACGCACACGAGTTCGATTCCCTGGTATCATCCATCCATATATTCATCACCTAAGTATATTTCATGTGCTTTAAGCTCGCAGCGAAATACATTACAAACATTATCATATACCGGGTAATTACCACGTCTACTCGTCGTAATGTCGCTTGCAACAGCCGAAATATTGAGAACAAATCAAATGTGGCAATCGTGGTAATTCTTACCATTGTTGTAAGTTAAATATTACTGTAATTTATTAGAATTCTAATGAGTTGAACGCCGGAACTTTTCAGTGGGTTGCGAATCAGATCCCGTGGTAGATTCGGCGAAGCACTGCTCATGCTAGGCTAGTGTTAGCAAACCCTCTCAGGTTGAGCCCGTGAGCATGGATAATACACATAAATTAGTCATAGATAAGCAACTCAAGCACTCAACAAAATGCTTACGGGCGTCGGCCACTAGATGGCTTCGTTTGGATTAGTTTCTCATTGCTCCTGTAGATGGCAGTAACATATTACCTGTCCTATATTTTATTTTTAATGAAGGATTTTGTAAATTTTCAGAAACCACTAATTGATATTTTATTCAATTAATTTAATTTAATCAATTTGTCTTATCAATTTGTCTATATTAATCAATTTATTTAATCAATTTGTCTATAACAAATAAAGACTTGTATGATTTATTAATTTGTTTATTTCCTTTGCTTAGTTACACAATAATTAAATGCCTTTTGACTTTAACAACATATAAGTTTAGGGGCATCCGCTACAAGATGTCGCTAGTTTCCATACAAAAAAAATGTGCTCGTGAGCTTACCTACCCGTCTGGGCATAGCTGGAATAGCTCCCTAGGCTTCCAAAGATGACGTAGGAAAAAAGACGCCCTTTAATATAGGCACGCACACAGGAAAGAATCATAGTATAGATATAGATATATACATAGATTTATTACCGCCAACGTTCTACAGAAGACGAGTGTGCATTTTCAACAAGTATATTTCATTTAAATTATACCTATGCAATTTATTTTTATTTTTATGGCTTAGATGTGTGATCGAGCTCACGGCCCACCTGGTGTTAAGCGGTTACCAGAGCCCATAGACATCTACAAGGTAAATGTCACCACCCACCTTGAGATATGAATTCTAAGGTCTCAGTATAGTTCCAACGGCTGCCCCACCCTTCAAGCCGAAACGCATTACTGCTTCACGGCAGAAATAGGTAGGGTGGTGGTACCCACCCGCGCGGACTCACAAGAGGTCCTACCACCAGTAATTACGCAAATTATAATTTTGCGGGTTTCATTTTTATTACACGATGTTATTCCTTCACCGTGGAAATCAATCGTGAACATTTGTTGAGTACGTATTTCATTAGAAAAATTGGTACCCGCCTGGGATTCGAACACCGGTGCATCGCTCAACACGAATGCACCGGATGTCTTATCCGTTAGGCCACGACGACTTCAATTGTTAATTCGAGTGTCTTTGCAAGCCGTCACAAATGCCTTTAGTTCGTCAGCAACACTTGATCGGGGAATGATTGGAGGAGTCTGACGAAGATCACCTAACAACAGAACCATGGCTCGACTAAAAATTGATTATTTATTAAAAAATTGTTTAAAAACTAGCTAACCCGGCAGACTTCGTAGTGACTCAATGGATAAATAAAAGACCTAAACTTTTGTATAAAATAAACTTAAAACAAACAAAAGGAATCAGTCCGACGGGGGACACATCAAAGGAAAAACAAAATTGTTTGTTTTTATATAATTCCGAGCATTTTCATATTTATTCACCTTTTAAACCTTCTCTGGATTTCCATAAATAATTCAAGACCAAAATTAACCAAATCGGTCCAGCCGTTCTCGAGTTTTAGCGAGACTAACGAACAACAATTCATTTTTGTATACAAAAATTTTAAATTTATTTAAAAATTTATATTTATTTTAACGTTATGTCCAGTGCCTCCAGTGACCTTCGCCATCGTTCATTTCTTTTGGTGATGTTGTAAATTGGTGCTTAGTATCAACTAATCAATGGAAATCAGTGCAAATGTTTAGTAGTAAATTCAAGGCAGAATGTGCAATTCCTACACCTTCTACCAATGTTGCAGCTTTTTATTTATTTATTTTTATTGCATAGGTGTGTTGCAGTGCTTGAGTTGCTTATCTATAACTAATTTATATGTATTATCTATGGCCGTGCCAAGCTAACTTGTTCGTAAGGACTTTTTGGCGGGAACGCGAGGAGTGAAATTGTGTGATTTGTTTTATTTTGTCTATTTAGTGTTTCTCCAGGCTTAAATGTGTAATAATGTTGGTTTATTAACTGTTTAGTATCTTTGAAAGTGCACAAATGTGGAAAAATCAAACAAGGCCGCTGAACGTAACTTCTACAACGAGATGAGATGATGTGGGAAGAAATCTCAGTAAAATGGTGGTTATTTAGTGAGACTTTTTCAGTGGACTTTTTGGAGGATCCCGAAAAGTTACGTTCAGCGGCTTTGTTTCATTTTCCCACATTTGTGCACTTTCACAAAATATATTAAACAGTAGAAAATACATTATATCAATAAAAAAACACACACAGTACCACGCATTTGACACACGCACGACGTAATTACTTGAGTGCGTCGCGTAGGGTACCGGTGACCTACATGACAATCTAAGGGTTAAAGAAACCATATTTTATTTTCTACCTATGCTGATAGCCTTGAGAGGCTATTTCAACTCCTCTTTGACGTGTAGATGAGCTCACGGAGCTCAAGCCGGGAGTTTTGCTAACCCTCTATTTACACCATACACCGACACCATATCAAGATACGCCATCGATCTAAAGTTCCAAAGAAAATAAGTAATGGCCAATGAAAACCGAAAACCTGTTGCGTGTTTTGAAAACGCGTTAACCGACAGACATACGTAGGTCTGTTACATATATTGATTACCTTATCCAATTTTTTTTTTTTTCTGCATTAACTTGTCCCGTGATAAGTTCGTAAAGAACTTGTGTTACAGGTACCAGATAACGGATATAAATGTAAATTTTTTATTATACACATACATATATTTAATATACATCCATAACCCTGGAAAATACATTTATGTTTATCATACAAATATCTTCCCTTGGCGGGATTCGAACCCGCGACCCCCGTATGTAGTGACCATGTTACTTACCAATACACCAGACGGCCGTTTAATCAATATATGTATTATATATTTTTTATTTATTTAAGTCAAACACAATTCAATGCTCCAGTTCTTGGGAATTCATGAAATGTCCTTATGAGAAATTTAAGAAGTGAAATAACTCAATGATTTCACGATCTCGTATGTATACTAATGTAATGCGTGTATACTAATATTTATAGTTAGAAAGCCAGTTTTTTTTTATTTATTTTTATTGCTTAGATGGTTGGACGAGCTCACAGCCCACCTGGTGTTAAATGGATACTGGAGCCCGTAGACATCTATAACGTAAATGCGCCACCCACCTTGAAATATAAGTTCTAAGGTCTCAAGTATAGTTACAACGGCTGCCCCACCCTTCAAACCGAAACGCATTACTGCTTCACAGCAGAAATGGGCAGGGTGGTGGTACCTACCCGTGCGGACTCACAAGAGGTCCTACTACCAGTAAACTTGTTGTAAGTTTGTTTGTTTGTTACGCTTTCACTTCTTAGCGTCTTGACCTAAAGGATAAGACGTCCGGTGCATTCGTATCTAGCGATGCACCAGTGTTCGAATCCCGCAGGCGGGTACCAATTTTTCTAATGAAATACGTACTCAACAAATGTTCACGATTGACTTTCACGGTGAAGGAATAACATCGTGTAATAAAAATCCAACGCGCAAAACTTGTAACTTGCTTTATTACTGGTAATTAGACCTCTTGTGAGTCCGCACGGGTAGATACCATCACCCTGCCTATTTCTGCCGTGAAGCAGTAATGCGTTTTGGCTTGAGGGGTGGCGCAGCCGTTGTAACTTTACTGAGACCTTAAAACTTATATCTGAAGGTGGGTGGCGCATTTACGTTGTAGATGTCTATGGGCTCCAGTAACCAGTTAGCACCAGGTGGGCTGTGAGCTCGTCCACCCATATAAGCAATAAAAAAAAAGATGTCTGAATCATGCTTAGGACATTCTTTTTATTTATTTTTTATTATTGCTTAGATGGATGGACGAGTATAGTTTTCCAGGCAATCCAAAAATACCCTGCCTTCTGCCTTCCTTCCTGCCGTCCTTCCTTCCTTCCTTCCTTCCTGCCTGCCTTATTCATCTCCAAACACCAGAAGGTTTTGTGACTGTGTTTTTTTGTGTTTGTCCGGAAACATCTGTGTTTTCTGGGGAATGCATTGGTATTTTAGAGGCATGTCAGTTTGTTTCTTCCCATAGCACTATTACAAGGGCAGTTATTTTTTCAGACTCTAGAAGTGTCCTGGACGCTATCGTCAAAAACCCGTTCAGGGATAAACTCCGCAGTTCAATAGTCTCTGAAATTAAAAATTGTTTGTTTTCATGCTCGAAGAAGCAGACCGACATTATCTTGGTATGGATTCCTCTCAATCGTTTGCGAACGAGATAAAACCGTAAAAGTAGCTTAAATTATGTCCAAGAACCAGCCACGAACACATTTGTCTCTCTGCTAAAAACCAGGGTAGCTAAACGCTTAGCCCCTACGTCCAATACGGATAATTCGCATAAGGCGTATTTTTGGGAACTGGAAGACGTAGCGTGGGTAGGCCTCCCACAAGATGGGCCGACCATCTATTGAAGTTCGCGGGGATCCGCTGGATGCAGGCAGCACAGGACCGATCTTTGTGGCGAGGCCTGGGGGAGGCCTATGTCCAGCAGTGGACGTCCATGGGCTGATAAAAAAGAAAGTATTTTTGGGTTTATCAAACAAGGTACCGTATGTATTCGTGACAAAATGATATGAGGTAAAATGAATCTCAAGTGATTCATTTTGCCTTCGAGGTTCATTAGCACGTTGCAACACCAGACCCTGTAGTGAGAGGATCTGTCATTAACGTATTTCCCCGCGTCGGCAAAGAGAAAGGTGTGACCACAATTCGCACGGACACTTTATCTTTAAAAAATATTATTTTTTTATTGCTTAGATGGGTGGACCCATCCCATCCCACAGCCCATCTGGTGTTAAGTGGTTACTGGAGCCCATGAACATTTATAGCGTAAATGCGCCATCCACCTTGAGATATAAGTTCTAGGGTCTCAGTATAGTTACCACCGCAGCCCCGCTCTTCAAACCGAAATGCATTACTGCTTCACGGCAGAAATAGGCAGGATGATGGTACATACCCGCACGGACTTGCCAGACGTCGTACCAGCAGTAATTACGTAAATTATAATTTTGCTGGTTTGATTTTTATTACACGATTTTAATATTAACGATATTAGTTTTATCATTTGACTAGCGGCCCGCTCCGGTTCCGCTCGGTTCTTTAACAAAAATTTCAACAATATTTGACGTTGTTTTTCTTTTAAATAAAATAACACCTATTGTGGCATAACTACAATAGTTAGACATATGCCGTCGCGACACTTTTTGTAAATAATAATGTGTTCTACAAGGTCGTAGTACATTATTTTATTCTATCATCAATAGTTTTCGCAGCGCACGTGATGTAAAGAATATCTTAGGTAATTTTTTTACACCTTCGGTCACTTTATTGCAGTTTTAGTAAGGATCCCAAATTTTTTTCAAAAAAGATTATAGCTTATGTTACTCGGGAATGGTGTAGCTTTCAAACAGTGAAAAAATTTTTCAAATCGGTTCAGTAGTTTCGGAGACTATTCAATACAAACAAACAAACAAATCTTTCCTCTTTATAATATTAGTATAAGATAGATTACGATATTAATATCGATTTTTAGTGAGCGAATTGATAGCGATTCGAATGGTGGGGCAGCCATCTATGATTTAGGTTAGGTTGAGGTTCTCGCTATAGTGGCCAGGACGCGGACGTAAGGGGTTGCGGATGCGTCGCCAGCAAACTCGCTCATCTCAAATTAGAAAACTATAGATGATCGCAACGGTTCAAGGTTCAGTGCGTAATGCAATAGCATTTCTAATGCGTGTCAGATGACCAGTTACCCAACGCGGTGTTACGATATGAACTTTATGAAATTTCATTGGCTTTAGCGTGAAATCGATTCAAGGTCGACTCTTGAATACAGCTTTAATGGACAGTAGAAATCTATCGCTGATATTATAAATTTTTCACTGGTGGTAGGACGTCTTGTGACGCACGGGTAAGTGCCACCACCCCGCCTATTTGAGCCGTGAAGCAGTAATGCGTTTCGGTTCGAAGGGCGGGGCAGCCGTTGTAACTATACTGAGACCTTAGAACTTATATCTCAAGGTGGGTGGCGCATTTACGTTGTAGATGTCTATGTGCTCCGGTAACCACTTAACACCAGTTGGGCTGTGAGCTTGTCCACCCATTTGTGCAATAAAAAAAATAAAAAAACTTAAGATACTGCTGCGTGGCGATCACCAATTGCATTTGTTGAAAGACTTTTGCTTTCTTTGTTGCAGGACGTAATATTGTCGAAGCAAAACAGCTAAATATGGACGACATTACATTATTAACGACGACAGACAAAATGGAAGCTTTTCAGTGAGTTAATTATATAATGCTTTTCGTTTACAAGCTAACGATGACCGGGTTTCGTTGGCTGTGGGTCCTGATCAGACGGGGGTCCCGGGTAAATCCGGCTTTGAATAAGTCACCATTCTATTGTGAGAATTGCTATGTTGTTCGTAAAATCAAAAGGGTTCTTGTGCCTTCGATGGCATAGGCGAGGATACGACGTGCACGATTTTGAGGGGACATCGTCATAGGTCATGAACATCAGCCATCTTCTTCTTCATCATTCCCTCACTGCTGGGGATCGCGACCACATGTGACGTTCCTCTACAGTGTTCGATCATAGGTGGCATGAACCGCATGGTATAGAATACCACCAACCGCTTTTTTTACCAGATCTGACCATCTGGATGATGTTTTGCCTAGGGCGCCCTTGGCCTCATATGCGACCCGAAATTATGAACTTCTTTTTTTCCTGCCACCTATGCTGATAGCCTTGAGAGGCTATTTCAGCTTCGTCTTAACATGTAGGTGAGCTCACGGGGCTCAAACCGGAGTGTTGCTGGCACTGGCCCTAGCAAGAGTAGTGCTTCGCAGAATCTACCACCGGGTCGGAAACGCGACCCACTGAGGAGATCCGGCGAGAAACTTATTGGTCTGTGTCTATGAACTAATTCGCTCGTTGAGCCCTTCGTCGCAAGCAACGGGTTCGACGAGGACCGGTGCTTGTGGTACCTAAAAGCACAGTTAATGGATCGGGACTTTCTCTAATGTCTTCTCTAGGAGACCGCATGATGTGTCCGAAGAAGCTCATAACACGGTCCTGGCAGATGACAGAGGGCCTTTTTCGGATGCTTAGCCCCCTTAGAATGAACACAGCCAAGCTCTAAATGCATCTGCAAATGTTGTAGTCCCAAGTGAGCAATTCCTTAGAGCACTATACGTTGCCGGATTAGGTTCAGTTGAGTTGATGGGAATGGGATTCGTGGTTCGTTAGCCAATTCCAATTTGTTCAAGAAGAAAAAAGCACTCGATGCGTAATCACAAATTATTGCAATAATGATAAAAAAGTATACGAGGGACAATAAATCTCATAAAAATTACTCATTCGACCTAATTCACTGTTGATATCATTGTAGGAAACAGATGGAATTCCTGAATGGAAACGATCCCAATATGGTGAATCGTAACCAAGAATGTCTCCCGAACTATCAACTCCTGAGTTCATGTCCAGCGGAAGCCGTGGCTGACTTCTACGACGGTTCCGTGATCCTCGTGACCGGAGGAACAGGATTTGTGGGTAAAGCCCTATTGGAGAAGCTCTTGCGGAGTTGTCCAGGTATTGAGACAGTTTATATCCTGATGAGGCCGAAGAGAGGCCTCACGGTCGAGCAGAGATACAAAGAGCTTTTGAAGAACCAAGTAAGTTTTAAAGGTCTTGTTTTTTTCACGAATTAAATTTGTTAATATGTATGTTTGTGCAATTAATGCAGCCATATTGCGATTTGTCATTGACATAATTGGCAGGTATCTCGACAATGTATTGCGGGAACCATCATTTAGAACAAACTTTTCGTCAATAACAGTGGAGCTTTTATGCTACTCTTGTGCGGTAGGCAGCGGCTTGGCTCTGACTCTGGTATTACTGATGTCCAAGGACTCGTATTGCGCTGTATATAATCTTTCGTGTACTGGCCATAAAACTGTATTTTCGGTGTTAGATCATATTAACTGATTTGAATGAAATTCTAAAAGAAATCGCAGGATTTTGCGACTTTGAACTGTCCTCATCGGGTGCCGAAAAGTGGAGAATAGAACTCCTAAGTGATTTGAACACATGCTCGATCATGGTGTCTAAGTCATGCAAAGTCCCAAAAGTCTGCATCAAAATTGGTTCAATTTAGTTCTGTTTTGTTTTTAAGGTTCAGCCTTTAATAATAATATCTTTCAGGTATTTGACCACATCAGGACTCGTTGGCCCGAGCGCTTGAGTAAGCTTCACCCCATCACGGGCGACGTTTCGGTCCAGAATCTCGGAGTCAGCGTCGACCAAAGAGAACTGCTGCGGCGTGTGACCACAGTGTTCCACTCGGCGGCCACGGTCAGGTTCACGGAGCCTCTCCACGTCGCCACCACGCTCAACGTTCAAGGCACCGCTTCGCTGCTGAAGTTGGCTGAAGACATGCCCAAGCTGAAGGTAGGGGATGCTGCCATTTTGAAGCTTAATAGCATATTAATGTACGAACGGAGCGGAACGGTATAGATGAATGACGGATATGGAGCATGACTGAGTGAAACAGTTAGGAGATGTAGTGTTAGGAAGTAAGAAAGACGGCAAATGAATGCGGACCGCATAATTTTATTGTTTAAGTGAGAGAAGGGTAGGTACCGGACGCTGACTGAGTGAGAGAGATGGGAAATGTCGTGTTAGGAAGCAAGAAAGACCGCGAATGAATGCGGAACACATAGATTTATTTTTTAAGTGAGAGGAGGGTAGTTACCTATCCGTATGGACTCACAAGACGTCCTACCACATGGTAGTTTAGTTTCACAGTACTTTTTTATGCCTTCGCATTGACTATTTATTCTGCAAAACTATCATTCATACCAGTTTCAAGGGTTAAATAGCCGTTGGCGCTGATGCGTTCGGTCACATAACTAAACCTCAATTTACAGGCTCTAGTCCACGTCTCCACAGCGTATAGCAACGCTCCGAGGTCTTATATTGAAGAGCGCGTGTATCCCCCTCCCCATGATCCGGACAACATCGTCAGATGCACCCGGATGCTACCTCCGGAGACGGTTGAAGTTATCGCCGATAGCTTACAGGTAATATATACGACTGTTGAATTGGCTGATGCGTTTGCGACACTAAAATCACATAAATTCATTTAATTAAACCCTGTCAGTGCTGAATTCTCAATAAAGCAGTGCAAGTTTAACAGAATTCACCCCACGTCCTTACGGATCCATCAGATCCAATAACCTTTGCATTAGACGCCTTCAGCTCTAACACTAGGAGCAAGCTTAGGGACACCGGAAACCGTACTCGTCGAACTCGACAAAGAGTTCGACGAGTAACTTAACCCATGCATCACCCGCTGAGTTTCTCGCGGGATCTTCTCAGCGGGTCGCGATTCCGATCCGGTAGTAGATTCATTCGCGAAGCAGCTGCTCTTGAGTTGTTAGGTCTCCTTGGGAGGCGCTTGGGCAGCTGTTAGCATATCCCACTCCTCCTGGCTGAGCCTTTGCTCGCCCACTTGTCCTGGTGAAACTGGAAAGGCCACCCATATTACACCTCGTTTTCCGGAGACAGAGTTCCGATAACTTGCTGTGATTCCGTTTTAGCTGTCAATTTTCTGCATGCATAGGTAATTTTTTTTTTTGTAGGGAGATCATCCTAACCCCTACACCCTGACTAAGGCGTTGGCTGAGTCCATAGTGTATAGTCACACGGAGCTGCCGGTCTGCATTGTGAGACCTTCGATAGGTAAGCAACGAAAAGTTTGTTATGGCACGCGAATTAAACAGTGATTACTTTTGAACGACTTCAAAAGCAAGTCGCAATCAGACAGTACTTTTTATGTGCGTTACCGCGGAGCTTTTTTCCGGGTGAAGCGCTTTTGATGATTCAGTTTTTTATTTACTTGAAGACGGCTGCTTCGCAAGCGATTTAAGTTTTATCAAGATCTGGCGAGTAGGTTTTGAATTAACCATAAATAAGGCACGTTTAATTGACTTCGACAATATATACGATGTTTTTATGTATTATGTACGCACTATTATTACTGAATTTGAGAATTAAAAAAAAAAACAATCGCCAGCTTATTTCGCAGGCTCATGCCAAGACTGTGGCTCATTTCGGAATCCATGGTAGAATACTTCGATCCTAGAAGGCACGTCCTGATGGATCCATCAGATCCTATAACCTTTGCATTAGATGCCTTCAGCTCTAATACTAGTAACATGCTTAGGAACCCCGGTAACCGTAGTTGTCGAACTTGGCAGAGTTTGACGTGCAACCTAACCCATGCATCAGCCCTCTTAGCTTCTCGCTGGATCTTCTCAGTGGCTCGCGATTCCGATCAGGCAGTAGATTTATTCGCGAAGCAGCTGATCTTGAGTGGTTAGGTCTCCTTTGGAGGCGCTCGGGCACCTGTTAGCAAATCCCACCCCTCCTGGCAGGGCCTTTGCTCGCCCACGTGTCTTGGTGGAACTGGAAAGGCCTCCGGGCCAACAGTAATTCTTCATTCATAAAAAAGAATACTTTGACGTTTAAAAAAGTACCTTATTAAATTAAGTGTGGTCAGTCTTAATCTCACAATCTTAATTATTTTCCTCAAATGTAGATCAATTTTCGTAATTTTTACTGTTATGTGTAAGGGACATAATTGTATATATTTAATTTTTTTTAAAGAAATTGCGTATTAGTCGCTATTCCGACGGTCCGCTCTTTATACGCAGTAATAGAGTCGATCTTGATAGTTGTTTTTTTTATAAAAGCGTATTTTGTTAGTTTTTTAAAACTATTATTTATTTTTCATTTATTAGTTGAATTTCAATTTTTTCAATTATTTTTATTTCAATTATTTTTTTAATGTTGATTTGTCGTCGGTCCTTAATAAGTATACCAAATTCCGTTACGAACATACATACATTACGTCTGAAGCTAATAAAAGCGTATTAAAAAGAAAGACACGCTTAATAAATCGACTGACTCGATGGGGTGGTAGTTAGCGAACCTAACTGTTGCGCCGAGGGTCGTGGGTTTGATTCCCGCGTCCGGCAAACATTCGTGCGATGAAAAGGTTTATTTGCCCTTCGTCTGGGTGTTTGTTTCCTCGCGGCTGTCATCCGAGTGTCTTCACAGTGAGTGTCCTTGAATACCTCGGTCACATTGCACGGAAGGATGGTAGCAATCTCGAGAGGCTCGTCATGACTGGTAACAAGAGACAAGAATTGATGGAGAAAGATCGATGCGAAGGTGATACAAAATGGTGGTCACGACCCTCAGTAGTGAGGAATACAAAGCATGGAGGAGGGTGTTTGTTATCTATTTATGTATATACTTAAGACGTATATAAGTATGTTTGTCAGTCTTTGGTACTCGTAACACAGGGAATCTTAAATTGGGACCGGACGACCGTGCGTGGTAAAAAATAAAAAGGATTATATGTATGCTTCGATCAATAATAGTACTATGTATGTAACCTCTATATGATTTAAGACATAAATCTTAAAAGAAGGTATAATAAGTTATATACTAGCCGTACTCGCCCGCTTCGCTGGGCATTTAAAATTAACATTATTATTTATTGTTATTATTATTAGGGAGTCCAACACTCATATACTTAAGTATTAGCCTTTCCATGAAGTTACATGTATTTTCTACATGGATACCAAGTTTCAAGTCAATCGGATGCACGGTTGAGTAATTATAACGGAACAACCCTAAAAACCGCTGTAGATTTATATATTAGTATAGATACAGCTGACATAAATTGTATTATAATATTTTGAATATTTAAACACAAATTATGGTGAAGCAATAGCTTATATGTTGTTTCTTAGCAACTTAGTTTATGCTATAGTTTTATTGGGCTACATTTTATTTTATGGTCCATAAAATAATACATAATAATAATACATTACATTATGTATTAATGCAACTTTTATTTATTATCACTCGTAAAGCCCCGTACCCGTTCATTTGTGAGAATAACAAATTAACAATAATAGATGCCTTGAATCTGTATCAAGGCTGGTAATACAAGCATGGGAAGCCGCCATTTGTATTCGATCGATTTTTATTAATAATTCAAGGACGCATGTGAATTATGGACAGCTGTGACCTAGGCTGCGAGGGTCTGTGTTTCGTTTCAATTATGTTAGTTGAAGATTTACCTTTTTTTATTGCTTAGATGGGTGGACGAGCTCACAGCCCACCTAGTGTTAAGTGGTTACTGGGACCAATAGACATCTACAACGTAAATTCGCCACCCTCTTTGAGATATAAGTTCTAAGGTCACAATATAGTTACAACGGCTGCCCCATCCTTCAAACCGAAACGCATTACTGCTTCACGGCAGAAATAGGCAGGGTGGTGGTACCTACCCGCGCGGACTCACAAGAGGTCTCTGTGAGGTCTCTGTTTTGTTAGTATAACTACAAAAAAGAAAACGATAAAAATCAATGTCGAACTTAATAAACAATAGTTTATTTTTTATTTTATTTTTCATTTTTTTAATTGAATTTAAATTTTTTCAGAAATTTTTTGTTTTTCAATTTTTTTTTAATATTGAATTGTCATCGGTCCTTAATAAGTATACTAAATTTCGAGTTAATCCGACGTTTCGAAGGGGGTCAAAATCATGTTCAAAGATTCCGTTACATACTAACATACATACGTCTGAAGCTAACAAAAGCGTATTAATAAAAAGTGTCCCGATTCCACTCATTTTACGGTAGGTACTTAATGTTATCCGAGTTTTGAATTATCCGCTCATCATAAATCCTTTCTTCGAATTACAGTGACTGCGGCTTCACAGGAGCCGTATCCGGGCTGGATCGACAATATCTACGGAGTCACCGGTGAGTAAGAATGAGCTCTTCGATTCTTATTGGGTACCTTTATGCGAATCTCGCGTCGTCGTGGCTAATGGATAAGACGTCCGATGCATTCGTATGTAGCGATGCAACGGTGTTTGAATCCCGCAGGCGGGTACCAATTTTTCTAATGAAATACGTACTTAACCAATGTTCAAGATTGACTTCCACGGTGAAGGAATAATATCGTGTAGTAAAAATTAAGCAAAAATTGTGATTTGCTTTATTACTATTGGTAGGACGTCTTGTGAGTCCGCATAGGCAGGTACCACCATCCCGCCTATTTCTGCCGTGAAGTAATGTGTTTTGGTTTGAAGGTCGGGACAGCCGTTGTAATTATACTAAGATCTTAGAACTTATATCTCAAGTTAGGTGGCGGCATTTACGTTGTAGATGTCTATGGGCTCCGGTAACCGCTTAACACCAGGTGGGCCGTGAGCTCGTTCATCAACCTAAGCATTAAAAATAGAAAAAAAGAATTCGTGAACCATCGTCAAGTCAATCACTGTTAAGTATTGTATAAAAACTGTTTAGTCGCATGTCGGCATTACGCCAGGCTTTTCACACATAAGATCTATTACAATGAAAATACAATACAATTCTGTATAACGTTAAAATTATTTGCTTATTACGAAAAGCCACATCTTAGTTTTTTACACAATTAGCCATTTTGTATTGGTTATAGCAACTACAACTTCTTTTATATAAACAAAGGGAATTACTGGGAAACAATTCATAAAACGTAGCTTAATATTCACAATAAATATTTTAGTGATTTTTACATGACTCTAACATTAATTCATTTTATATAAATTACTTTTAACTAATATAAACTAACATTATCAATACATTATCCAGCCTAATACCTAATAGATGGCGCCAACAACATGATTTGCATAACAATTACAATGCTTAAACAAATTATTGAAGTTAATAATTTATTATTATTATTTATGCTTTATTAATATTTGATTATTTTGACGGTAATTTGTGTTTTTAAACAATAAAATAAAGACTAAACATATTCTAAACATTTTCACATAAAAACAGTGTCTACTAAATAATAAATATGGTAAAATATCAGTTTCATCTTACTGTTACGCCGGTAAGAGTAACGCTATCTGTCGCCGAATAGTTGAACGAATATCAAGGGATCTAGCAGCATCTAGAACGCTCTAGAAGGACAACGCCATCTGTTTTCAGATAGCGGAAACACAATACTCGACTTTTGTGGAATATTCCCGTAGATTCTAGGGATTGTCTCGACAGTGCGTTCCCAGAGGTATTTTTTGCCACGCACCATCCGGTTATGGAATGAGCTCCCCTCCACAGTGGTTCCCGAGCGCTATGACATGTCCTTCTTTAAAAGAGGCTTGTGGAGAGTATTAAGTGGTAGGCAGCGGCTTGGCTCTGCCCCTGGCATTGCTGAAGTCCATGGGCGATGGTAACCACTCAACATCAGGTGGGCCGTATGATCGTCTGCCTACAAGGGTAATAAAAAAAAATTCGTCTCGACTATAAAAGCGTTGCAGAGATGGCATGCAGTCAGTTAGTAATCAGAACTACTCGAAGCGAAACAGCGAACGGATCACCCGAAGCGAAGCGGAAGAAGCGAATTGAGAGTTTTAAGGTGTTTTAAGTGTTCTAAGTGATAAATACAGTTTTAAGTTGTGCTTTGGTGGAACATTTATTTATCCCGAACCCCAGCGCGTAACATTACTAATAATAAATAAATAATAACATAGAATAAGCTAAGCTATAAATCATGTAAATTATTGTCAATAGCGGAGTTTCCGCATATATACCATGGGAATACGCCGGCTGATGTCTTGCCGATTTCAAACCGGTGTTTTGATTTCAGGTATTATAATGGAGATATCCCGGGGCACGTACCGTTCCGGGTATTGCCGGGAGCGGTACGTCGTGGACTTGGTGCCAGTGGATATGGTGGTCAACTCCTGCATCCTGGCCGCTTGGAGACAAGGAGTCAAACAGTATGCCCTTTTTTTCCTAAGCTTTTTCCATTTATCTATTTGTAGTCAGACTTTTTTTATGGCTTAGATGGGTGGACGAGCTCACAGCCCACCTGGTGTTCAGTGGTTACCGTAGCCCATAGACATCTACAACGTAAATTCTGCCACACACCTTGAGATATGAATTCTAAGGTCTCCGTATAGGTACAACGGCTGCCCCACCCTTCGAACCGGAACGCATTACTGCTTCACGGCAGATATAGGCAGGCCACGACGACTTCAAATTTAACCCCATCATCTCCTTTTCCAGGCCGGGCCGCTGTCCCGTCTACAACGTGACTTCGGGGTCCATCAATCCGATCCAGTGGGGCGAGTTTACCAGACTATGCGTGAAGTGGGCGAAAAAGAATCCAACGAAGTAGGTTCTTCGCTTTACAAATCAAATATGAGAGACGAGAATTCTTTTCTTCTTCTCCATCGCTCCCTCATTGCTGAGGATAGTGACTCCGTTTGAGCTTGTCGACTGCCAGAGACGAGAATAAATTCCCCGAAATCATTTTCAACAATAACCCTGTATCAACATATTGTCTATAGTCTGGACTACGACTAATTGAGCCTAGTAACTACAATACCAAAAAGTATATCAATGGTCCAATTATACCTTAAAAAAGGAGGTATTAATCCAAATGTAGACATAGACAGAATTTAGGTACCTACCTGTGCAAGCCACCCATACACTCCGTCAACAATGCCAGTGTTTTCAGTGGGCCGCGTTTCCGATCCGGTGGTAGATTCTGCAAAGCACTGCTCTTGCTAGGGCCAGTGTTAGCAACACCTCCGGCTTGAGCCCCGTGAGCTCACCTACACTCTCGTTTACACTAGCATAGCACCACAAGGCTACCAGGTTAAGTTGGAAAAAAGCCATTGGTCCCTGACTTCACTGACAAGTCGCTTCGAGGTCTTTTAGTAGATGTTTTCGGTCATCAAAAGCTATTTCCGTTAATTTCAGGTACGTGATGTGGTATCCGAATTTCTCATTCACCGAATCACGGTTGATAAACACGTTTTGGGAGATTACGTGTCATTTCCTGCCGGCTTTCCTGTACGATTTGCTACTGCGAGCCCAGGGGAGGAAGGCTATGTGAGTACCAGTTTCATTAGCCACTTGAAAATTGCTTTAAAGACAACCAGGCGCTTAAAAGAGCAACTCCTACAATATAGTTTCGATATACCTTTGAAGTCGTCGTGGTCTAAAAGATAGCAGACGGGTACCGATTTTTCTAATGAAATACGTAAGACATGTTCACGATAGACTTTTACGGTGAAAGAATAGCATTGTGTAATAAAAATGAAAATTGGTAAAATTATAATTTGCTTAATAACTGGTGGTAAGGACGTCTTGTGAGTCCGCACGGATAGGTACCACTGCCCTGACCGTTTCTACCGTTAAGCAGTAATGCGTTTCGGTTTGGAGGTTGGGGCAGCCATTGTACTGTGCCGCCACTGCAGTGGCTGCTACGAGGACACGGCGGAGCACACGCTCGCGCACTGCCCCGCTTTCTGGGGGAAAATAGGACCGGACTTGTCGCTTCCGACCGTTATGGCTACGATGCTCGGCGGCGACGAGTCCACCATCTCTCAGAAGGAGGCGGCGAAACGGGAGAGGGAGAGTTCTTCTTCCCTCTCGGCACCGTGCCGCCGCCGCCGAGCCGGGGTCCGGAGGAGGGCGTTTGTCCAGCTCCGGCCCCTATGAAGAGGCAGCCTCCTCCCGGTGATGGTCACGGGGTGACTTAAGGGGGTTGAAGCTGCGCCGCACGCTACCGTCACTCTAGCGCGCTGGCACCAGGAGGACGGGACGACGCGTCGGCGGCTGCGGATTGCGATGCGGTCCGCATTTTCGTCATCGCTGTCATCGCCGAATATACTGTGGAAGAGCAACCCGGTCGGCGGTGTATCGCGTTCCGACCCGGCCGGCTGGTTCTGGCCCAGCGGGGTATCCCGGAACACCAGCGGCACCGCCCGGGCGGCCTGGTAGGGCCACCGTACCGCGGAGACCGTCGTCGTTGGTCGTCGACTATCGCCTCGACGACCCGTCGGCGTCCTCGGGGTGGCGCCGCGTGTCTGGTTGTAGTGTTGACCGCGGGAACCCCCCTACTCTGACCGGGTTTTGACCCCGGACGGAGATCGGACGTTGGGTGTAAGAGTGCAGGGGAGTCGCTTAGTGCGGTAGGGCCCTCGCAACACCTTGCAGATCGTCAAGTCCCACATACCCCGCGCGCCCCCTAGGCGCGGGGACCTTGAAGTAGGTTTGGCGCCCGGCTCGAAAAATAAAAAAAATTAATAAAAAAAAGCCGTTGTACTGTAAAACTAACTAAGAATTCGTGTCTCAAAAATTAGCTGACACCTTTTTTACGCCTTGTTCAATCAATCGTCTTCGCCATCTTGGAATTTCTTTGTCATTCGCTTTTCCCTTTCTTATCGTTTCCTCTCACTCACACCTTAACTCTCCCTCCCACTATTTTCATACGTTCCGTTGCTATCAATCCTACATACATATATATATATACATAATAAACCATCAGACCAAGAACAAATAAACCTGGTTCATCCCACGAACCGAAGCGAACCCACGACCCTCGGCACCACACTTTGGGGTGTTAACTCCTCGTGAATAATATATTTAATTGAAAAAATTGGCACCTGTCGGCGGGATTAGAACATAAGAACAGTCCCATCGCTCGATTCAAGTCAAAATCACGTCTTTTCCTTTAGACCACTTTATGAACAAGAATTACATTACCGCCATTTTTCTAATTCCTCGATCTTCATTCAAAACATTCAAAAGCACGAAGCTCTCGTTAATGACATATGTTTTTTTCAACTACCTTCAAAATTTCTAGCATGATGAAAATCGCCAGACGTTTCAAAATGGCCGCGGCGACAGGGGAGTACTTTGCCAACAACGAATGGCAGTTTGGCGTGGCTGAGCTGCAGGCTTTGCAGGGCGAAGCCAGTTCCACTCGAGACGCCGGACAATTCCCCTTCTGGCCGGCGGGCTTCGATTGGGATACGTACATCGGGGCGTACATGTCCGGGATACGGAAGTTCATTCTAAAGGACACGGTCGACTCTTTACCATACGCCAGGACCAAGTTAAAAAGGTTTGTTAATTGGAATTCCACGTTTAAAAACATCCAAGCCCACAATACACTGTTTTTTTACTGGTGGTAGGACGTCTTGAGTCTGCACGGGTAGGTACCACCGCCCTGCCTATTTCTGCCGTGAAGCAGTAATGCGTTTCGGTTTGAAGGGCGGTGCAGCCGTTGTAACTATACTGAGACCTTAGAACTGATATCTCAAAGTGGGTGGCGCGTTTACCTTGTATATGTCTATGGGCTCCAGTAACCACTTAACACCAGGTGGGCTGTGAGCTCGTCCACCCATCTATGCAATAAAAATAAAATAAAAAAGTCAGTGTTACAAATTCCGCATTTTAATTGAATTTTATATCATTGTTACAGATTATTCTGGATACATAAATTACTGCAGGCCGCTACCGGTTATTACGTGTTCAGATTGTTAGCCGGTCGTTTACGATAGCGATACACAGAATCAAATTTGATGTTTAGTTTTACAAGAATATTCAAACGCTTACTCAAATGAGTTTTGTTGTTTGTAAGCGTATTGTGAAGTTATCTTTGTAAGTGAAGAATAACTCGGTGTTCACCCTAACGCGGTTTCAATTATCAATACATGTTCTAGTTTATTTTTACTATAAAAACGTAAATAAAAATTTAGATACTGTATTATTTAAGGCAATTGCTAGTGGGATAAACGATTAAAAACACTTTTACAGTTTAGTCTCGTGTCGAAGTGATAGCTTCTGATGGGAGGGTAATTGATAATATTTATTCAAAAATTTTTTTTTATGTATATGAATTTATTTAAATACGAGTATTTGTATCTATAAATATTATGTATGTTATATGTTTAAACATATGTATAAGTACCTAATATCACTATAACACTACATCTACAAAGGTTCATCTCTGCACTCCCCTAAGGTAGACTGTCAGAGAATGCCTATGGCACTAAGTCTGCCTTTAAACTGTCAAGTATAGAAAGTTATAAATAAATAAACCGCTTCGTTACGTAACCTGTTATGGCGCCAGTCTGTCTTGCATCCCTTTCCCTCTTCGCGGGTCTGTTTTGGAAGGGATTTCTTAAAATAATAAATGGTGCTGATGTGTTTTATTTTCGTGTGCAGTGTACAAGGTGATTCTGTTGTGTTATAATTAATTACAAACTACCCACATATATAGTTTTTTTTAAATAAATCTTTAGATCTTCAATCTCTATCTTGCACGGCGTTTTCTGGGATTGTCATCCGATTCGAGCTTCGAGAAGATTCCGAAAGCTCAAAAATTTGCGCTTGTAGCTTTCGGGTGATTCTGATAATAAGCAAAGTGCGAATCTATTTTTTTTCCTGCCTATGCTGATAGCCTTGAAAGGCTATATCAGCTTCTCCTTGACGTGTAGGTGAGCTCACGGGCCTCAAACCGAGGGGTTGTTAACACTGGCCCTAGCAAGAGCAATGCTTCGCAGAATCTACCACCGGATCGGAAACGCCACTGAGAAAATCCGACGAGATACTCAAAGGGTTGTGTATACAAGCTGGACTGCATGTCGAAGGTTATAAATCGGTCTAATACTTTGTTAGAAGTTGCGTGTTATATTTTAGAATGATAAGGGTTAAAAATAAATAAAGAGAGCGTACAATTTTATAAAAGATCTTTTATTTGTTTTTATAAGTCTGACCTAACCTAGTATAATATTTCAAGTCAACATTCCTTTTTTTATTGCATAGCTGGCTGGACGAGCTCACGGCCCACCCGGTGTTAAGTTGTTACCGGAGCCCATAGACATCTACAACGTAAATGCGGCCACTCATCTTGAGACTGAGTTCTAAGATCTCAGTATAGTTACAACGGCTGCCCCGCCCTTCAAACCGAAACGCATTACTGCTTCACGGCAGAAATAGGCAGGGTGGTGGTACCTACCCGCGCGGACTCAAAGGAAGTCCTACCACCAGTTAATTTCTAATACATATATAGGATTAAAAGTTCAAATTCAATTTCTATTTCAAAGCAAGATTTATATATTTATTTTTTTAGTACATAGATGGGTGCATGAGCTCAACACCTGTCTGGTGTTAAGTGGTTATCTGAGCCCATAGACATCTACAACGTAAATGCCGCCACCCACCTTGAGATATGAGTTCTAAGTTCTCAGGATGCTTATAAAATTGAATTTTAAGTTAATAATCTATCTATATGTAAATATTTTTGCGTTACTTAATGTTCACTGAGACGGAGAAAGACAGACTGAGATGGAGGGTGTAAGCAAAGGCCTAGCACGTGCAATATCACATGTGCAGGTCAAAAGAAAAAAATTTAAAATAAAGATGCATTATCTTAGCGACGGCTTGGCAATGTTTATTTACAGGCTGTGTAAACAGTTTTTGATTTACTACAAAAAAAATATCAAAAATTTTATAAAAATATAATAATTATCTACAATACGCCACAGATATATTTCGTCTTTATTATATATTACAGTAACAATCTATCTTAATTAACACTAAGATAATTTTATTGTTTAATACTAAAGTCAACTTCCTTCACCATCATTTTACGTTTGTAGTTAAACAAAAATAACTGAACTATCCAGACAGCTAGTTCTATTGTCTTATTGCTTTATTTTTTACCCCTACAGAGAAACATTAATTGTTGTTTATAAGATGGAATTCGTTGCGTAAAAATTTTTAGTACAGCGCCATCTATTAACAAGGGTACTTTTTAAATTTTAATGCCAATGAAAACTCTTTGAATCTGCGTATATTATATAAGTATGTGGTTTAAAAATCTATTATACTTAAAAATAAAACAGTAGGTTAGTTTCAGGGGCAAGTTTCAGAGTTGTAAAAAACTATAAGCTTACTAATGGCAAGTATTCACAAAGTTATAATTATTACCTATGCCTATATTTTAATAAGGTTAATCAAATTGTTTATCGATTTTTTGCTTAGTAAGCTCTGTTTTTACAGTAAATGAAATATTTTTCACCATGAGAATGTATTTTACAAAGACGGGTCCACCTTTCAAGCCGGAGCAAGTGATTGTGTGCAGCAAAACTTCAGCTGTAGGGACTTATCTGGAAGATTTATTTTCAATTATGTTTTTGTAGTTTCGTTTATCTGCCAATAGATGCCGCCACATTGTGGTTCCTAAAAATCCCTAAGGCAGCTACGAGTCGTGGATCCCTCGTGAAAAACTAACGAATTCTTCTACTCTAATTAGAAAACTATTTCGATTGTTAATACTCGGAGTCGGACTCTCGCTTCAGTCGCAAATTAAAGCTTTATGATTCCATCACAACCGCGGCCGGGAAGACGTTTGAGGTGGTCGCGCTTGAGCCGAACGACGTCGTCCAACTGTAGAGCCAGTAAAACACGAAGCCCCAGAAGAGACACCGCGTGACCAGGTCGACGAACCACATCCTGGAAATGAAAAGGTTAGGAAGTTTCATTTGAGTCTTTTTCTATACCGTCATTAGCTTACAGTATACTTGCTTATGTATACTCTAAGATCATTAGACTCCTTTGAGTGTCGTCGAAGAAATAAGGCTATGCCTTCAATGGCTCATTAAAACAGTCACAAATTTATCACTATATATCTAATGAAAATTATTGGCAAGTAACTCAGATTTCGGTCGGTTTCAAGTGTGACTGGCACTACAGAATACTATGGAATTTTTTCTATCCAAACAAATGATTCGATCTCAGCAAATCTGGTATGGCGTTGAGTTGAGTCCCAACTCCAATAAAGATGAGTTCGTCTCAAGAGTCGAACGGTAGGTGGTAGCAATGATGACTTACGCATAAGTTAAGGCTTACTATATAACATTAGATAATTTAGATGATATTGTAGAATTGTGTTAAATAATTATAATTTAAGATTAATGTTTTTTTGTAGATTATACTTAAACTTGATATTTGTACGCTTTACTAGCAGGACATAGTGATACATTTATTAATATTAAGCATCATCTTTGTTAACCTATGACCACAAATAATAATAAAATAAATAAATAAATGACTTTCAAAAGCACAGTGTACAAATCATGAAGCCATAGACAACTTACACTTTCATATGTCTCCTCGCAGCCGGCAATGTATCGTCGTATTCTTTCAGGATATAAATGCGGGCAGCTCTTATGCAGTCTTCAAAGTATTTGGAGATGTCAAGACCTGAGACCAGAACTTATTTATTTATAACTTTATATACTTGACATTATAAAGGCGGTCTTAATGCCATAGGCGTTCTGACAGTCTACGTTAGGGGAGTAAAGAGATTATTATTATTATTATCTGATTAGTGAAATCGCCTCGGCAGTATTTTGTAATTAACTAACAGTCACGCCATGCCACGTTAACTGGTCCCGTGATAAGTTCGTAAAGAACTTGTGTTACAGGTACCAGATAACGGAAATAATTAACGAGGGTAGGTACCGCTTTTGGCTATTTCGTTGGCGAAGTAACCACTGGTATCCAGTTTAATGAGTGATTGTAATACAAGTGAGAATTGGGATTTCTGAACTAGACGCTTCTCGCTTTTTGATGACTATGGGCTCTTCTAGTTAATTTCCCCAAACGACAGAAAAACAATTTTGTTGAAAACTTTTTTTTTGGCTTCCTTGCTAAGCACGCGACCTAAACGAAACTCTCGCTCAGGCAGCAAGGTTTTGTTCCGATGATGCTATGGTTATTTGTGATCTTTGAGAAACATTTTCGTTTTTTTTATGATTGAGGGATTACTGGTGGCCCGGAGGCCTTCCCAGTTTTACAAGGACAGGTGGACGAGCAAGGGCTCAGCTGGGAGGGGTGGGACTTGCTAACAGCTACCCAAGCGCCTCCATGAGAGACCTATAAACTCAAGAGTAGCTTCGCGAATGAATCTACTGCCGGATCAGCTTAGGTTAGATTGCACATTGAACTTTTTGCAGGGCCCGATAAGTACTGACTACGCCTGATGTTGCTTACCGGACGAAAACCGGTGTTTTCAACATGGTATGGAGAATGGCTATATTTTCGTATAAAGCTTAAAGATCTAAGCACTACTAACCGCCAGCGTCCACTTTGTAGTCCCTCCGTTCTCTCGTGTTTAACCTTTGTCGGACTGTCTGCGCGATGTCAGATTTGAAGTCCCACTGGTTGTTCGTGTAGTATTCGAAAACTTCGAATCCCTTGTTTATGCGGCGCTGGACGCGCATCAATCTGTAATTCGTGATACCAAACATAGATGGCGTTAGTCGGTGAACTTTGAGCGTTCCTTCGGTAATAGATGGCGCCTCTTTGAAGTGAAAACTTTAGCATCGTTGTGATTCGAAAGTCGATGAAACGAAAAAGCGACAGTAAAATGAGACATAAATTCATAATGATGAGAATGTTTGTGGGGGTGAGAAATAATAATGTTAATTTTAAATGCCCAGAGCAGCGGGCGGGTACAGCTTGTCGTCCAAAATTTCCATTTTGGTTAATCGATGATGTAATGTGTATACGCCAAAATAATTTCATCAAGTTAATAATGAATTGAACTCACACTGGCTTATAGCCGAGACAGAAGAGCAGTATATCGATGAAAACAGCCGGAATCCAGTGGAAGAAGAACACGCAGATGTTGTGGTACAGCCTGGAGTGTTTCATTGAACCACCCGGGTACCTGGGAGAAGAAATCTATGTTATTTACTTATTACGTTATACTACGTTATATTACGGTAGGACCTCTTGTGAGTCCGCGCGGGTAGGTACCACCACCCCGTCTATTTCTGCCGTGAAGCAGTAATGCGTTTCTATACTTCAGACCTTAGAACTATACTTGAGACCTTAGAACTTATATCTCACGGTGGGTTGCGCATTTACTTTGTAGATGTCTATGGGCTTCAGTAACCACTTAACACCAGGTGAGCTGTGAGCTCGTCCACGCACCTAGGCAATAAAAAAAAATTTAAAAAATCTACCACAGGATCGGAATCGCGACCCACTGAGAAGATCCGGCGAGAAACTCAGTGGGCGTTCCGGAACTCCACTCCTCACCCCACTCTAGTCAAAATAACCTCTACTACAAACACATTAGAGTTCTGTATCGTAAATTTTCGGTCATAACAGATTCTTTCAGGCCTTTGTTAAGGTCTCTAATGTTTTTGGTCTCCCCTCACTGCACTCACCACACGACCCCGTTCAGCGGGACCCTGTTCATGATGATCTCTCGTCCAGCATCAATCATCTCCGACCACGTAACTTTGATCTCGGCCGACGAAGTGAAATTGATAACGCTCGATTTTTTGTCTCTGCGAAATTAATACGAGAAATGCATTGAATAAAATAAAATAAAAAATAATAGTTTAAAAAAAACTAAAACAATACGCTCTTATAGAAAATCACACAAAAAAATAGAAAATAAATCTTAATAAATTTGAATTAAAAATATTGTAAGAAAAAATGATTTTATTGTAAAAAAAGCGTGGGGTGCATGTATCAGTAGTTATAGATATTTTATGAACAGATAGGGGTAGAAGGGTTATTTTGATAATATCCTGAAAAGCATATTTTTTTTAGGTTTTTTTAAATTATTTATTTTTCATTTTTTAGTTGAATATCAATATTTTCAAATTTTTTTTTGATTTCAGTATTTTTTTTAATATTGAATTGTCATCGGTCCTTACTAAGTATACCAAATTTCGAGTTAATCCGACGTTTTGAAGGGGGTCAAAATCATGTTCAATGATTCCGTTACATACTAACATACATACGTCTGAAGCTAATAAAAGCGTACTAGTAACAATTAAATGTACAAACATTTTGTTTGTTATATATTTATTTATAGACGTAAATAACGAAATCACGGTCTGGCGATGTGTCCTCGAAGATCCTTGATCGATAAGTTGACCATTACAGGTCCCAGTAGGTTGAGCTGAGTGAAAACCCATTGGTCGTCCGATGAAATGTAATTTAATGAAATGTAATTTAATCTTTTTTCTTTTCTCCTATCCTAGCAACCTCCAGGGGTTATACTAGATTCGCAAAATTAGTAGGTGAGCTCACGGGGCTCAAACCTGACGACGTTGCTAACACTAAGCGACTCACTGAGAAAATCCGGCGAGAAACTCAGTGAACAGTTTCTTATAATGAGGAGTATTATTATACTTTACCCGTAGTGAATATAGTTCCAAACTCCGATCATGATTCCGTTTATAAATACGTCGACAGGTAAATAGTCGGCGTAACTGTTGCTCTTGCAATACATGCTTCGAATGACTCCCTTCCCGGCGCCTGGTCAGAGAATGTAATGGTATAACACACCTTTTGTATAAAGCTTAGAGAGAAAGAGAGACATGGACATGTGATGAGACGAAATGACAATAAGGTTGTTAAGAGAGTTAACTATGAATGTGGAAGGATATAGAGGAAGTGGTAGACCTAAGAAGAAATGGGTGGATTGCGTGAAAGACGATATAATATGTAAGAGGAGAATGAGTGAAGAAACGGTATATTATTATGATATAGGAGTATGGAAGGAGAATAATGTTGCGCCGACCCCAGGTGACTGGGAGAAGGGCAGGAGAATGATGATTAAAAGTTTTTTTACAGTTTTTCATTGTTATTATATGTTTCTTGTACATATACACACAGATAGCTACATTCAGCATTAGACGGACACGGAGAAGAGAAAGAAATTATCAATCTGTGACGTGAACCATTCATCCGTAACCACGGTAACTGTATAATAATGGAAACCCCGGAAATGACGGAATGATTATAAATAAACCCGCGTTCAAAGCTTTGGGCTTTAATTATGTCTATGACTCGGGTAGACAACGTAGATGTTTGGTAAATTTACCTATCAATAATTATGTCTATGACTCGCGTAGACAATGTAGACGACTGGTAAGTTTACCTATTAATAATCCTGTCGGTCCATTGATGTTGTCGGTCCACCCTGGAATCGGTTCCTGCCAGATTGGGATCACTGGAATAAAAAAAAAACAAAAACATTAAAAATATAATAATTTATCCATCTGTTTAAAATGATCTAACGTAAACCATTCTTGATAATTCTTGATTGTTTGTTAGAAACTTTATCATATATAATACAAGCCCGTTATGGTTGGAGGCACGGTATGGTCATTGAATACTCACCAATTGATGGTCTCAGAATCATCACCGGAATGTGATCCATGGCTTCGACCGCCAGAGCTTCGCCGAGTGCTTTCGTGAAAGCATATGAATTCGGCAACTTGTTGAGGATTCTGTAAGTTGTTTAATAGGTTCTTTAAATGCCTTGATAGGTGGAGAAGATGGCGTAAGTAAAGTGGTTTGTATGACTAATACCAGGCCGGCAGTAAGTGTCGCGGCTTGTGTATTAAAATAAAGTTTTCTAGTTTGTAGTTTATTCCTAGATGAATCGATTCTTACGTTTCATTCTTTATTCTATTATCTGGTGCGTCTCCTGTGGTATAATTTAATTTGATTTAATCAAGATCAGACCGTTAGTTTTTGAGTTATCCATAATAATAATGCGTGTTTGATTGTCTCCGACTATTTTGACGTATGTTCATTTTAATTTGTCGTTGTAGGGTAGATTGGGCTCTTTAGAAACATTTGGGTTCGTGGTCCGCCCCTACCATTAGCTAACCTTCTTGGCGCGGAAACTTCACGTATAAGCTTCTACCCTCTGCTTAAAAAAATTGTTACACACATATTTTTAAATGGCTTTTTACCAGAACATATGACTGATCCGATGGTGGATAGTCACTGTCGATTATGAAGGTAAGCAACGCCAGGGTCACAGCCAAACCTTTACCTCTGGGCACTCTCTCTAAGCTTTGAAGAAGAACGTGGCATAGTGCTCAGAAAATACCGTACAAAATCCATTTTTTTTATTGCTTAGATGGGTAGACGAGCTCACAGCCCACCTGGTGTTAAGTGGTTACTGGAGCTTATAGACATCTACAACGTAGACGTGCCACCCACCTTGAGATATAAGTTCTAAAGTCTCAGTATTGTTACAGCGGCTGCCCACCCTTCAAACCGAAACGCATTACTGCTTCACGGCAGAAATAGGCAGGGCGGTGGTACCTATCCGCGCGGACTCACAAGTGGTCCTACCACCAGTAATTACGCAAATTGTAATTTTGCGGGTTTGATTTTTATTACACGATGTTATTCCTTCACCGTGGAAGTCACTCGTGAACATTTGTTGAGTACGTATTTCATTAGAAAAATTGGTACCCGCCTGCGGGATTCGAACACCGTTGCATCGCTTCAACACGAATGCACCGGACGTCTTATCCTTTAGGCCAGTGATTATCAAACTTATTTCTTTTACCGCCCCCTTTGAAAATCTATTATTTTTCAGCGCCCCCCATTTTTTATACACCCCTAAAACTTTAAAACCACAATTTCATTAATTTAATTAATAAATGTTGTATTAATTTTAGTAAATGTAGTACCACGTAGTACATATATATTTGTAGATGCTATTATTGTTTCTTCATATTATTATATGTCCGTACATTGCTACAGAGCCTGTATTTACAAATTTGCAAAGTANCCCTAAAACTTTAAAACCACAATTTCATTAATTTAATTAATAAATGTTGTATTAATTTTAGTAAATGTAGTACCACGTAGTACATATATATTTGTAGATGCTATTATTGTTTCTTCATATTATTATATGTCCGTACATTGCTACAGAGCCTGTATTTACAAATTTGCAAAGTAAAAATGAATTCTTCTCATCAATATGTTTTTTTAAATTCAGAATTACCAAAATAAATTGCTAGTTCACTGTACTATTACTATGCTAATTTATTAGAACGAAACTATTTTTGTTGAATATCTTTCTCATTAATATAAGATTCTCATCATAAGATAATTAAAAATTTATATTTCGACTAGTAAATAATACTACTAACAATAATAACTTATTAAAGTACGAATAAGGTAAACCTGGAAGTCGTAGAGGATTTCATTTATCTGGGCTCCATCATAGCTAGTAATGGATCCTCCGAAAAGGACCTCAGAAGGCGAATCAGTATGGCAAAGAAAGCTATGTCCCAAATGGACCGTGTTTGGGTGGCATTTTTCTCTACGGCGCAGAGACTTGGATCCTCAAGAAAGCCGACCGCCAACGTATCGACGCGTTTGAGATGTGGTGCTGGAGGAAAATGCTCGGGATTCGTTAGACAGAACACAGAATCAACGAATCCATTCTTACCGAGCTCACGATTCCAATGCACCTCCGCACTACATGCGCGCGGAGGAGTTTCGAGATCTTTGGACATATCGCCAGAAAGAGAGGTGACAATATGGAAAAGCTGCGGCAAGGTATGCAGGAGAAGGCACAGAGGCAGAAATCCAATGCGTTGGTTGGACCAAATACGCTCCACTCTCAATACCTCAGTCCACGTTGCTATCCACACAGCCGAGGACAGGTAGGAATGGCGCATGATGATGCAGGAGAAAGTTATTAAAGGAGGCCACGACCCTCAGCACTGAGGATTATCGACGCAAGAAGGAAGGAAACTACGAAAAATAAATTAATATCATTTCGTATTATAGATAAATATGGGTAATTTTTCATAGAATTTTAGTTTATAATTTAGAACTGGTTCAAATAAAAACCGCCGCCTAAATCAGCGTTTGTAATAATTAATATCTATACTAATATTATAAAGAGGAAAGATTTGTTTGTTTGTATTCAATAGGCTCCGAAACTACTGAACCGATTTGAAAAATTCTTTCACTATTTGGAAGCTTCACTATTCCCGAGTGACATAGGCTAAATTTTTTTTTGAAAAAAATTAGGTATCCTTACTAAAACTCCAATAACCCAAGGTGTAAAAATTTTTTACCTAAAATATTATTTACGTCGCGTGCCCTACGAAAACTATTGATGATAGAATAAAATAATGTACTACGACTTTGTAAAAAACATTATTATTTACAAAAAGTGTCGAGTGTCGCCGACAGCATAATAATATTTATGCCGCAATAAGTGTTCTTTTATTTAAAAAAAATTCCCCTAGTAAAACACGGTGTGCCCCCCTACCTTCGCCGACTGGTGGCTTCCTACTTAGAGGACAGATCGGTCACGTCTACTGAGCACGGTGGGATCGTGCACAGGTTCCCGGTCGTGCGCGGTGTTCCACAGGGGTCGGTGCTCGGCCCCCTTTTGTGGAATGTCGGGTATGACTGGGTACTGAGAGGTGCCCTCCTCCCGGGCCTAAGCCTAATCTGTTACGCAGACGACACGCTGGTAACAGATTAGGCTGTCCCGGGGGGAGTTTTGCTGAGTTTACTCGTCTTGCCACCGCTGGGGTGGCGCATGTCATCGGCAAAATCAGGAGATTAGGCCTCGACGTGACACTCAATAAAACCGAGGCCATGTGGTTCCACAGGCTGCGGAGAGTGCCACCTGTCGATGCCCATATCGTGGTTGGAGGCGTCCGTATCGGGTCGGGGTGCAGTTGAAATACCTCGGCCTCATTCTGGACAGTCGTTGGACCTTCCGTGTTCACTTTCAGAACCTGGTCCCTCGTTTGTTGGGGGTGGCCGGCGTATTAAGCCGGTTTCTTCCCAACATCGGGGGGCCTGACCAGGTGACACGCCTTATACGAGGCGCCCGCGTGGGGCCAGTCACTGGCCTTGGGGGTAGCGAAGTTGCTGCAACGGCCGCAACGCACCATCGCGGTCAGGATCATCCGTGCTTATCGCACCATCTCTTTCGAGGCGGCGTGTGTACTGGCTGGGACGCCGCCTTGGGTCCTGGAGGCGGAGGCGCCCGCCGCTGACTATCAGTGGTGGGCTAACCTTCGTGCCCGGGGCGTGGCGCGTCCCAGCCCCGGTGTGGTTCTGACCATTCTGACGCTCTGGCGCGGAGGGCCCAATCTCGGCGGTCCGTGCTGGAGTCATGGTCCAGGCGGCTGGTCGATCCTTCGGCTGGTCGTAGGACCGTCGAGGCGATTTGCCCGGTTCTTGTGAATTGGGTAAATCGTGACAGAGGACGCCTCACTTTCCGGCTCACGCAGGTACTCACTGGGCATGGTTGTTTCGGTGGGTTCCTGCACCGGATCGGAGCCGAGCCGACGGCAGAGTGCCACCATTGTGGTTGCGACTTGGACACGGTAGAGCATACGCTCGTCGCCTGCCCCGCATGGGAGGGGCGGCGGCGTGTCCTCGTCGCAAAAATAGGAAAAGACTGTTCTGGCATCGATGCTCGGTGACGACGAGTCGTGAAAGGCGATGCTCGACTTCTGCGAGTGCACCATCTCGCTAAAGGAGGCGGCGGGGCGCGTGAGAGATGCACAGGCCCGCTGCCATCGAGCGGGGTCCAGGGAGGCGAATCTCGCCCAAGCCCTGGCCCTCTAAGTGTTTCGGATCTCCCTCACATGTCGGCCTGGGGACCGGCGAAGGGGGCCTAAGAAGACGATGTGCAAGCTGATCTGCACACGTTTTACGCATGAGCATCCGGGTGATGGAAGGCCGGCTATCCCTAACCCACACTGGTTCTGACCCAGCAGGGTATTCCGTAGGATAGACCATTCTAACCGGCGCCATCTAGGCGGGGTTCGGACAGCCTGCCGACCGAGAGGGCTGGTGGTCGTGGAACCGACGACCACCAGTCCGGCGTCCCGAGGGGGAGGGTGATGGGAGAGATGTGCTCCGCACTAAACGCTTCACTTTCCCTCCTTTGCCTTTTCATGAGCTCTGTCTCATGCGAGGTTTGGATGCTGGTTGTTGAGCGACAAGAGGTTTTAGTCGGTTCGACTCCGACATGCCCCGCCCTCCATCCCCAGTGAAGAGCGGAAGTCCGGCGATTTCCTCTTGACAAAAAAAAAACGTGTGGCCCTCGGGAACTGCGGCGGTATAGCTATTGCATAGCATTTTTTATCAACTTATGACATTATAATTAGACAATGATAATTTAATATTAAAACAATAATAAAACAAAACCACGCTATATTAAACCTTAATAAAGGCAAAACCTTAACTGTCCCCTTCATACTCATAAGCTAAACCGCGCGAGAGAGAGATGGACAGACTTTTCATGATGCGCATGCAGTGTGACGTCACGCCACGCGCTTATTAACAAACACTACACAAGCGCAACGTGTGAATGTGTTGAACGCGAGCTACATGGTAGGCGGAGTGAGGGATGTTAGGTTTTTTTCGTTACGGAATTTCATGATTCGGTCGCCGCGCTCAAGGCCCGCGATAAAAGCTATGCAATAGCTTAAAAATGTATGAACTTGTAATGAAATTTCCTTGGCTATACTATTTGTATCTGGCTGGTTTTGGTATCATTAAAAGTTTAAGTTCGAAAGAAGATAATTCCAAATTAAAATTAGGAAGATGTGTGATTTTACTTATTTTTCGTACTGTCAAAATGAGTGAATCTAATGAAGATATTCGATACATTTTAAAATTTTTACTACAAAAAAGGTAAAAAAGCAACGCCAGCCGTGAAGAAATATTGCGATGTTTATGGACCTAGTGCAGTGTCTGTGAGAGTAGCACAAATTTGGTTTAAGCGTTTTCAATCCGAAAATTTTGATGTCAAAAATGCACGTCGCTCTGGTCGCCCTATTACGGATAAAATCGATGCCATTTTTGAAAAAGTGGGGCAAGATCGGCATATCAGTAGTTACGACGTAACTGAAGAACTGG